CATGTGATGTTTATTTTTCATTTTGTTAATGTGGTGTATCACGTTAATTCATTTGGGAATGTTGAACCATCTCTGCATCCCTGGAGTAAATCCCACTTGATCATGGTGTATGATCTTTTTCATGTATTGTTGTATTCGATTTGCTAGTATTTTGTTGAGGATTTTTACATCAATGTTCATCAGTGATATTGGCCTACAGTTTTCTTTTTTTGTGTTGTCTTTGTCTGGTTTTGGTATCAGGATAATGTTGGCTGCGTAGAATGAGTTACGAAGCTTCCCCTCCTCGTCAATTCTTTGGAATAGTTTGAGAAGGATAGCTATTAAGTCTTCTTTGAATGTTTGGTAGAATTCACCAGGGCAGCTGTCTGGTCCTGGACTTTTATTTTGGGGGAGTTTTGATCTCCTTACTGGTGATTGGTCTATTCAGATTCTCTGTTTCTTCTTGATTCAGTTTTGGAAGGTTGTATGATTCTAAGAATTCACCCATTTTTTCTAGATTATCCAGTTTGTTGGTGTATAGCTTTTCATAGTATTCTCTTACAATCTTTTGTATTTCTGAGGTGTCTGTTATAATTTCTCCTCTTTCATTTCTAATTTTATTTATTTGAGCCTTCTCTTTTTTTCTTGGTGAATCTGGCTAAAGTTTGTCAATTTTGTTTATCTTTTAGAAGAACTAGCTCTTAGTTTCATTGACTTTTTTTCCTATTGTTTTTTAGTCTCTATTTGATTTATTTCCACTCTGATTTTTATTATTTCCTTTCTTCTACTGATTTTGGGCTTTGTTTGTTCTTCTTTTTCCTGTTCCTTTACGTGCACTGTTATATTGTTTATTTGAGATTTTTCTTGTTTGTTGAGATAGGCCTGCATTGCTGTAAACTTCCCTCTTAGAACTGCTTTTGCTGTATCCCATAAATTTTGGCATGTCACATTTTCATTTTCATTTGTCTCCAGGTATTTTTTGATTTCTCCTTTGATTTCTTCATTGACTCAATCGTTGTTCAGTAGCATTTTAATATTTGTGGCTTTTCCCATTTTCTTCCTGTAGTTGATTTCTAGTTTCATACTGGTGTGGTCAGAAAAGATGCTTGGAATTATTTCAGTCTTCTTAAATTTATTGAGACTTGTTTTGTGGCCTAATATGTGATCTGTCCTGGAGAATGTGCATTAGAAAAGAATGTGTATTCTCATGTGTGTGGTGTTGGATTGTAATTAGTATTTGGGTGGTGAACATGAGAACATGATGTAATCCGTGCAGAAACAGAAATATAATGATGTACACCTGAAATTCATACAATGTTATAAACCAATGTTACTGCAATAAACAAAACAAACAAACAAAAAAAGAATGTGTATTCTGTGGGCTTTGGATGGAATGTTCTGTATATATCTACTAAGTCCACCTGGTCTAATATGTCATTTAAGGCCAGAGTTTCATTATTGATCTATCATTGGTGTAAGTGTGGTGTTAAAGTCCCCTACTATTATTGTGTTGCTGTGTGTTTCTCCTTTTATGTCTGTTAATAATTGCTTTATATATTTAGGTGCTCTTATGTTGGGTGTGTAGATATTTACAAGTGTTATATCCTCTTGTTGGATTGTTCCTTTTATCATTATGTAATGCCCTTGTTTCTTGATAGAGTTTTTGTTTTAAAGTCTATTTTGTTTGATATAAGTATTGCTACCCCAGCTTTCTTTTCATTGCCATTTGCATGGAGTATCTTTTTCCATCCCTTCACTTTCAGTTTGTGAGTGTCTTTAGGTCTGAAGTGTGTCTCTTGTATGCAGCATATATATGGGTCTTGTTTTTTTATCCAGTCGGCCACCCTATGCCTTTTGATTGGAGCATTTAGTCCATTGACATTGAAAGCAGCTATTAATAAGAATGTACTTATGCCATTTTGTTACTTTTTTTTCTGGGTGTTTTAGTAGTTCTTCTCTTTTCCTTTCTTCTTCTCTTGCTCTCTTCCCTTGTGGTTTTATGGCTTTCTGTAGTATTATGTTTTGGTTCCTTTCTCTTAATTTTTTGTGTATTTACTATAGGTTTCTGGTTTGTGATTACCATGAGGTTCATATATAATAACCTATGTATATAGCAGTCTATATTAAGTTGATGGTCTCTTTAGTTTGACCTCTTGCCAAAAGCTCTACTCTTTTACTTTCCTCGTCCCACATTTTATCTTTTTGATATCATATCTAACCTCTTTTTTTGTGTGTGGGTATCTGTTACCCTCTTATCATGGAAATAGATAATTTTACTTTATTTATTTATTTATTTATTTATTTTCCCCCAAAGCCCCAGTAGATGGTTGTATGTCATAGCTCCACATCCTTCTAGTTGCTGCATGTGGGACGCAGCCCCAGCATGGCCAGAGAAGTGGTGCGTTGGTGCACGCCCGGGATCTGAACCCGGGCCGCCAGCAGTGGAGTGCGCGCACTTAACTGCTAAGCCATGGGACCCACCCCAAGAAATAGATAATTTTAGTACTTTTGATTTTTGAGCTTCATATTAGCTTCATAGGGGGTTGATCTGCTACCTTTATTGTATATTTGCCTTTACCAGTGGTTTTATTGCTTTTTTTGGATAATTTTCTTACTCCTATTTGTGGTCTTCTCTTTTCCACTTAAATAAGTCCCTTTAGCATTTCTTGTAAAGCTGGTTTCTTGGTGATAAAGTTGTTTAGTTTTTGCTTGTCTGGGAAACTATTTCTCTCTCCTTCCATTCTGAATAATAACCTCGCCAGGTAGAGTATTCTTGGCTGTAGGTTTTTTCCTTTCAGCACTTTAAATATACCGTGCTCCCTTCTAGCCTGTAAGGTTTCTGCTGAGAAGTCAGCTGATAGCCTTATGGAGTTTCCTTTGTATGTAATTTGTTGCCTTTCTCTTGTGGCTTTTAGGATTCTCTCTTTAATTTTTGACATTTTAATTATAATGTGTCTTGGTGTGGGCCTCTTTGGGTTTATCTTGTTTGGTGTTCTCTGTGCTTCCTGTACCTGGATGTCTGTTTCCTTTCTTAGGTTAGGAAAGTTTTCAGCTATTAATTCTTCAAATAGATTCTCTGCCCTTTTGTCTCTCTCTTCTCCTTCTGGGACACCTATAACATGGATGTTAGTGCACTTGATGTCCCAGAGATCTCTTAGACTGCCCTTGTTCTTTTAAATTTTTTTTTCTTTTATCTGTTCAGCTTGGGTGATTTCCTCTAGTCTTTCGTCCAGCTCGCTGATCCGTTCTTCTGTATCATTTACTCTGTTATTGAGTCCCTCTAGTGAATTTTTCATTTCCAGTATTGTATTCTTTGTTTCTAATTGGTTCTTTGTTATATTTTCCAGTTCTTTGTTGAAGTTCTCACTGAGTTCATCCATTCTTCTCCCAAGATCAGTGAGCATCCTTTGTTTGAACTCTTTGTCAGTTCGATTGTTTATTTCTCTTTTGTTTAGTTCTTATCCTGGGGTTTTGTCCTGTTTCCTTACTTGGAACATATTCCTTTGCCTCCTCATTTTGCCTCTTTCTCTGGGCTTATATCTGTGTATTAGGTAGATCAGCTACATCTGCTGATCTTGGAGAGGTGGCCTCATGTAAGAGATGCCTTATGAGGCCCAGCAGTGTACTTCCCTCTCATCACCAGTTCCAAATGTTCCAAGAGTGTCTCCTGTGTGGGCTACATGCCTCCTTCTGTTGTGGCAGGGTTGCTGTTGCTGCAGGTGCCTGGGGAGGCTAGGCTGCCCCCCTGGCCCCAGCACAGTTGGCTGCAAGGTCTAATAGCACATTCCTGTTGCAGTTTTTCTGTTAAGTGAGTAGGCCCCCAGTGTGGCTGGTTGCTAGGCTCAAGGGCTTACAATTGCTGTAGGCCTCTGGCCTACAAGGCTCTCGTCAGCTCTCTTAGGGTTGCAGCTGCTTGGGGCCGGCCCCAGGCATAGGAGGGCCCAATTGGAAGATGGGGCCAATCCCCTATGTAGCTGTTAGAGAAGCACAAGTCTGCTGCAGCTGACAGGCCCCACGGCCTGCAGGGCCACACAACCCGTCAACACAGTGCTGCCCTGTGTATGCACCCTGACCCACTGAAGTGGACCCAGTCGCCCCACTGCAGAGGCCCCATACACTCCACCAATGCAGGCCCGCCCCTTCTGCATATCCTGCCTCGCAGAGGTGGACCCACTCACCTGGTTGCAGAGGTTCCAGGCACCCTGCCTATGTGGGCCCACAAGCCCTATGAGGGCTTGCTGTTGGGTGGGGCCAGTCCCTACGGTAGGCTGCCCTGCATTAAATCTTGGTTGAGCTGGATTAAATGCTCTAGTGGGTGGGGCAAACCCTTGCACTAACAGGCCAGGGGAAGAACTCCAATGGCGTCTGCCAATGTCTGTGTCAGCACACCTGTACTAGGTCACAGTAATGGCTGCCGCCAATGTCTCAGTCCCTGGAGAGGTCTCACCTCTTACTGAGATGCACCCAGAGCCTATCAGGTGAGTCTCTTTTTTCCAAAGGACTGTGCACCTTTCTTTCTGGTGATTTTAGGTTGCTTTCTGAAACGGGTGAATTTGTACATGGGCTCTTTAAGAGCAGGCTTTTTTTCCTTATGTCTGATAGCTTTTCTGGGGGTATTCCCCATTGTAGTTAATAGCCAGCAGAGCCAGGTATTATGACACTTGTCTCTGTTGTGCTGAGTCAAAAAGCTGCTTATTGTGGTAACTCTCCCCTGCTCAGATCCCCTACTCCTCTAAGGAAAGGCTTCCTACCTTAAGATTGCTCCTGGCCTGCCGTGAAGCATTGCCCCTAGAAGGTGGCTTTTTTCTCTCCAGAAAGGAATTTCTGCCTCTTTGACCTCAGTCAACACTGTCCCTTTTTGTGGGGGTTCTTTTTATCCAGTTTTCAGTTCTCTCGTAGTGGTAATTTTTCCAAGAGTAGTTGTAAATTCGTCATGTCTATGGGAGGAGGTGAGTTTGGAGTGTGCTTATGCTGCCATCTTGACACCGTCCTTAATTTTTTTTAATCTTTTCTGATTTCAGGTCTCTGTCAGTGGAATTGAATGGGATTATATTGCCACACAGGGACCATTACAGAATACCTGTCAAGATTTTTGGCAGATGGTGTGGGAACAGGGAATTGCAATTATAGCGATGGTGACAGCAGAAGAGGTAAGTACGCATTTCTCTTAATTGATTTTCTCAGCCTCAGAAGAGCAGTTAATGTTGATCAGTGGGATCCTGATCTTTAGAAAAAGGCAGGGTAGGATTGCGGTTCTGAATTTCAGACGTGCTGTCTGGATGAAAGGACGTCCATTGCTGGATCTCGTGTTGTGTTTTGACTGTGCTTGTCTTTCACAGGAGGGTGGAAGGGAGAAGAGCTTTAGGTATTGGCCACGACTTGGTTCCAGGCACAACACCGTCACCTATGGAAGGTTTAAGATCACAACCCGGTTCCGCACAGACTCTGGCTGCTATGCCACCACAGGGTTGAAGATGAAGCACCTTCTCACGGGGCAGGAGAGGACGGTTTGGCATCTCCAGTACACAGATTGGCCTGAGCATGGCTGTCCAGAGGACCTCAAGGGATTTTTATGTAAGTGTCTTCACTGGAGCACAGCTTCCACTGGAGCTATGAAATAGCCATCGAGAGGGAGACTTAGGTTCCTGAAATATTTCCTTTATGTTGTCTCATATAAGCTTTGAACTTGTTTTAAAATAAATGTTTTAAGTGTTTAGGGGAGGCTTAACAGAAGAAGTTTTAAGGTATAATTTGGTAGTGAGTAGAATGCCATAAATGACCGTTAGAGACTCTCTCCTCCATTTTATAGATGAGAAAATGAAGCCCAGGCGGAGTCAGTGACTTGCCTAAAATCACACTGTCAGTTAGGAGTTGGGCTTGGTTAATTGGCACGCAATGTGTTTATCTGGAGTTATCTCAATCAGTAGAGATAATCTGAAGATTGTCAGTTTCATAAGCCTTAATCTCTGAGTATTTTTCTATTTCATGGGTATTTCACAGCATACCTTGAAGAGATCCAGTCTGTTCGACGCCATACAAATAGTACAAGTGAACCAAAAAGCCCCAACCCTCCATTGCTGGTCCACTGCAGTGCTGGAGTGGGGAGGACCGGGGTCGTCATCTTGTCCGAGATCATGATTGCCTGTCTGGAACACAACGAGGTGCTTATGTCCTCTTTTGGTGGGGGGGAGAAGTGGGCTAGGCACAGGGCTGGGGAAGAGAGGGACCTGGTGGCCTGGCGGTTCAGTTCTTTCTACACTTAGTTCCTTGGGGGTTTCTAACAGAAGATGCTAAGGTAGAAAAGAGACTGTCTCCTAACCAGAACTCTGTGAGGACACCGCACCCACCTCCAGCTCTCCCCCAGGGAATGCATCCTTCTCATCGCTGTTTCTCTCAATCTAGGTGCTGGACATCCCAAGGGTGCTGGACATGCTGAGGCAGCAGAGAATGATGATGGTGCAGACCCTCTGCCAGTACACGTTCGTATACCGAGTTCTCATTCAGTTCCTGAAAAGCTCAAGGCTCATATAAGCTCCCACAACTTCTTATGGGGACCTGATGATGTGAAGCGTTTACAGCTAAAAAAAAGTGCTTGCCTAACTCATACTTTCCCCTCAACACTCAATCCACGCAGACACTACATCGGGACGTGAAGGATGGTATGAATGATGGCGCACTGAAGGAAATGTGCAAAGCTTAAGGCTGAAGAGGGGGATTCTTAACCTGGGAAAGATGCTGAAGAAGGACTTGCTTTCGAGCGTGTTGCCCTGCTCCGGTCTGTCTGATTTGCAGTACTTGCACACGTGTTGGAGATTGTATTTTCTAGACAATTCTCTATTTTACTGAAGCTACACTGGGCAATTTTGGCAATCATTAAAGTGCATAGGTTTCTATCTTAAACTAGTTTTTGATAATGGAATTTTATTTTATGACTGAAATATTTGGGGTTTTCTTGTTGAGAAACTGAACTTTCCATGGGGCTGACCCACAGATATGAGTAGTTCCTATATAACTTTGTATTTAAAACCATGTTATTATCTTTTGTTATTTTTTAAAAACCTTGAGTATTTAACAGTTTAGTTACCAAACCCAAAACTACAGAAGAATCTAAAAGTGTTATTTTGAAAGATAGAAAGCATTTTTATATTCAAAGAATTTTTTAACCTAAAAATTCTATATATTTGTACCTTCTATATTTTCCAAACAAGAGTTCAACTCGTTAAGGACTGAAATGAGTCAGTTAATGTAAGGGAAAGTTGTGAATGAAGGCACGTTATTTAAAATGTAAGAGAATAATCAGATTCACTATTTTTTTAGTATTATTCGTAAACCTAAATGAGTTTGATTTTATTGGTTGAAAATGAAGTGAAAAACAATTGCATAGGATTTAAGCACTTTTTTGTTAAAACCAGTAAATCTGAGTTTTAATGTATGTGTTGCTGTATAGATGAACCGGTAACCATGACACTGTTGCAGAAGAAGTGTTTTGGACGAGATAAGGAATGAGAGTATGTGGGATGACTAGGATAAGAGTAAGTGCAGTGTAAATGCAAGATGGTAAATGCAAGGTGCCTCTGTCTTTACAAAAATGCAGTGTTATCTGTGCTCAGACTGAGATGCTGGGATGGAGAGTGGGGACTTGGGAGTATGGGGCTGACCCCCTAGAGGTAGGGACCCCAGGAAATTCAAGGCCTGTCACTGTCGGTGACTCACTCTGTTTCCTTGGAGTTCTTCCACCTAAACCTCTCTTCTTTTTAAACAAATAAAATCAGGTTTATATTATCATTAAAAGAAGCCTTGAAGAGGCTATATTTTCTTTTGGTTGAAAGAAGGGAAGACTTAGTAATAGTTTCACCTCATCTCCCAAAACCGTAGCCCAAACTTGTGGGGCCACCAGAGATTGCTGTGGTATTCAAGAGGAACTTGAATTTTAGCTCCTTAATCCCCTAACTTCACTCCTGAGGTCCATTTTAGCTTCTTTGTCCCCCTCCCCCATCCTATGTTCGCACATCACAGTGGGCAGAACCAGGCTGCATTAAAGAGGGGAGTGTCGCCTTTGGCCCAGGCTGAGATGGACTTGTCACAGTGGGAGTTGAGTAGGTAAGGACTCATGGCTACAGTTAGCTGCGGAGCCATCTCTTTTCCCTTCTTCTGAGGCTGCTTCTCCAAAATGTAGAGTTTCCAGAATGTCAAATCTAGGGCAATTTCTCCAAATTACAGTATCCCCGGGATGTTCTGATTCCCATGTTAACTCCTAAAGCAGTTTAACTCATTCTTTTCACCATTAAGTGTGTGTTGTCAGCCGTGAGACAGAATTTCCTTCGTCCAGTGTTGCTCTGCCTAACCTAACTCTGAGTTGCCCGGAGCCAACTACTTAAGAGGAAAATTCAGAAGATATTAATAAAAAGGAATATTGAAAGTGGGCACATTTCTCACTTAGGAACAAAATACTAATTTTAAATCTAAAATTGTTTTTAGAAGTCCTTTTTAAAGAACGGTACACTTAAGTGTAAATATTCAGAAAGAGCCCCCAGAAAAATGAAGTAAGATTTTTTTTATGGTAATATTTCCCATCTCCACACCCTACAGAGGACAGGAGTGTTTCTGATGCTTTTTTTCTTTCACGGTACGTTTTTAAAACATGCTTTTCTGTCACGTTTAAACACTTTGAAGTGTCCCATTGACAAGAACATATTGTAAAACAAAAATCTAAAGAGTAATATATATTTGTGTTCCTGTTGTAATAATTTGATTATAAGAAAATTACTTATGAGGACTAAATTATACTGTTTAAATGTCACTCTTAAAATGTTGCATGTTTGATATAACGTCTAAGACCCACTGTAATTTTCTGTCCCTTTTGAATTTTTAAACTTTTAATTATAGTTAGTGAATATGAAAGCATTTCTGAATAAAAATAAATCCAAATTACTGGACTTCAAAATGATGTGATTTTCAAGAGCAAACTATAGAACACTGAGGTTTCATAGGTTTACCACGTCTGAATTGAGGATGTTACTGTCTGCCAAACTTACACAATCCTTCAGTATCCTAGTGTCTTTTAGTTCCTTGATATTAATTTCACATCAAAATTACCAAAATGTACATTTTCACAAAAAGTAAGTTGTAAACCAGTGTTTTCCACTGATCAATTTTGGCATCTCTGGCCTCAGTTTTCCTGATTAGTGGGGTCTTTTGATGAAATATTCTACTTGATAGTTTTGAGTACAGAAAGTGTTCATTTTAGAATATTATTTGGAATGTTAATTGCAGTCATTGTTAATTACTTTCTTTTGGAACATCTACTGTGAAGCATTCAGAAAGCCCTAGAACCTAGCCTTCAAAACACTTTGGCAGGATTAAAACAGAAGCTGGAGGGCCGGCCCCGTGGCTTGGTGGTTAAGTGCGCGCGCTCCGCTGCTGGCGGTCCGGGTTCGGATCCCGGGCGCGCACCGACGCACCGCTTCTCCGGCCATGCTGAGGCCGTGTCCCACATACAGCAACTATAAGGATGTGCAGCTATGACATACAACTATCTACTGGGGCTTTGGGGGGGAAAAATAAATAAATAAAATCTTTAAAAAAATAAAATAAAACAGAAGCTGGACCAGTGCTTCCTTAGAAACTTCCAGAAAGAGCAAGGTCTAGGCAGAAACACAGAAGAAGAGAGTGTTGGGGTATAGGACTGAGAGGCGACAGCATGGCATGGCCAACTTTTTTGTGGAGCTTTCATCATCAGAAGAAAATAGTCATTTCAAATGGGTTGATATGTTAATCTACACGATATTAAGAAAATATAAATGTATGTATTATATATAAAACTTTATATGTATTGAAATATACATACATATTGTACAAACTACAGTATCCCAGGGATGTTCTGATTCTCATGTTAGCTGCAACTTATCAGGAGCAGGTTTATTTGAGATTTGTATGAACAAATGGAAGCAAGAATTACTGTTTAAACAATTTTTTCAATCAGACTTTTTGAAGGAACTCTTTTGGATATAAATTTAGGGAATTTGCTTCCCATCAAGATTTCATGTGGAATAAACTAAAACTCTCTCTTTCTAGTTTAAAGTTTATTTAAAAAAATCTAAATTGGAGGGGACTCTTTTTTGAGCTGAGGGATAGACATTTCAAAAATAGAGGGATAGGTACATTAGGAATTTCCCTGGGAAAACACTTTTCCAAAGAACGTGAGTTTTCCAAATTCCTGTACACGAGGGCTCCATCTACCCCAATATCTATAATTACTTATAGAAAAATGAGGAAAAATCAGAGAGTCCAGTTGTTTAAAATGTGCATGTGTTGGGGGTGGGTGGATAGAGGGAGGATTTTGGAAAACATTTGAAGGGGTCCTTGAATTGTTAAAGTGGCATGGTTTTCTGTATAGTGCAGGCAGTTCCCAAATAAAAATTATGCTCTAAAAGTTCAGATGGATGTTGAATTATTGAGATATAGTAATATTCCACCTTGTAAACAATACTTTAAGTGGGTGTTAACTTCCTTGGTTTGTCCCCTCAAAGCTTATTTAAACCATACGGGCTCTAAAAGGTGAACAGTGGTATAAAACCAAATCGCCATAATCTGTATACTTATGGCAATTTTTCTCCCTGCTGCACCCTGGTGGTGAGATTAGAGAATGAATTCTTTCTGCCTGGCAGTGGGGACAGCCTCAGCAAGTAATTGAAGCCTCCGATTGATCAGTGTTTCATGAGAGAATTCCACGTAGGTGAATATCCCAGCTTTTGTTACAGAAACAGGCGCATGAAGGTAAGGAACAGAATAGGACGTATGATGACGTGAGCAGGGATGCTGCCTGTGAGGCGGTGCTGGGGAGGGGTGGGGTGGGGTGGGGAAGGAGGATGAATTGGCAATACATCCCCTTGCCGTTCCTGTTTCCACTTACACATCCTCCTCTGGATTGTCACTGGCATGAAATGAGACGTAGAGGATGGGCCAAGAAGGAAGCTGAAGGTCTGCAGCACCCAGCTGAGGAAGCAGCAGTCCAGGCAAATATTCCCCTGTCAAGGGTCTCTCCAGGTCACATGTATGTAAACTAGGGTCTGGCTGCACATTATATTTCCAAAAATGTTTAAACTACCCTCAGATATTTGAGAAAATAAAATTCTTAGTTTTCAAAAACTAGAGTAAATCTTTTTCCAGTATGTTGATGGGTTAAGAAAGAGATAGTAACCATATACTTATTTTAAATTATGCTTTAATGTTATAAATAAGTACAAATGAATGACAAGAAAGGAATAATTATTTGAACTAACTGTAAAACTAACAGTATGGCTGACATACTATTCCAAATATTTGAAAATTACTAATTAGTTAAGTAAATCTTTTGATCATTATTCCTTAAATTCCATTAAATGACTTGGTGGTGTCATGTAAAAGGACCGTTTAAAAAAAATCTAAGATCCTTCAGCTGTGAACCTCTAAGTAGTTACCCACACTGGCTATCGCAGTACACGATTCCAGTGTGATCAATCTGCAATTTTAACTGAAGTGGCAGGTGGTTTTTAAACGGTATAAAAAGACCAGTACTTTATTTCATTTGTCACTATTGACATTTTAAGTGTGCATGTGTATTTTAAATTCACTCTAAAAGCTTGGTGAAAAAATATCTACAGTGTTCACTCTTAGGAGCAGGTCTGTTCTACCAAAGAAGTTCAGAAGGTTGGATTATCTGGGTTAGCCAGATCATAAATCTGTCAGTCCTCAATTTTTTGGGTAGATTGATGAGATTAGTACAGATTTAATGGTAACTGGCTTTCCATGACCATTTATCAGCTGAGAAAAACTGAATAAATAAATGGGGAATATAAACTCAATCTCATTTTTCATAAGAGTGCAAATATCACAGGTCAGACTGCTATTTTAATGTTAACAGACTTTTCAAACTTTATTAGCCTAGAAATTTATTAGAAATCACTTGAAATTAATGGACCATTGAATGAGACAAATCTTTTCTTACTTATTTTATAGGAATATTTATTGAAATATAATTTAATCTTAGAGTTAAGGGTCCTGAAAGGATCGAATGGTTAGGTAGTTTTACTGGAATAATACCAGTGCAATACTGGTTCAGTCCAACAAATAGCCTGAAAAAAAGTAAATATTCTCCAGAGGTGACACTTATTTCCAGAACAGATTTAATAAAAAGATTAAAAATAATACAAAACTCTTAAACCCACATGAATTAAACAAAAAGGTGAAAGAAAAAAACACAAAGAAAAAAATAATTTGTAACAACTTTTAGATTGGTAGAGCTCTGATGGGTTTTATTTGCATAGTTTGGTTTTTGTGGCACAACAGAGAAACTGAAGCAGTAGTTATTGTATAGGGATGATTCTCAGTGTTTATGAAAACTTTCTGTTAATATCAGTTTAGACCCTC